ATCCACTTAAATATTAAGGGGGTAGGGTGATGTCAGTGTCCAAGATGCACAAGGTATCTGCCATTAGGGAGTTTAGTTGGGGAAACAAATATAAAAATAATCAACATAACAATGTCCAATTGCAATAAATGCAAGGAAGAAAACAAACAAGTTTCTAGGAGAATAATCTGCTTTAAATAGATGAGGATGGCAGCTCTGAGGAGGGGGGATTTGAAGAATAAGAAAGGTCAGATCATGAAGATCTGGTGAAGCATATCAGGGAGTTGGGGTTTTATCTAGAGGCTTATCTACATTTAAAGGTTTCAGGCAGGGGAAAGATGCAGTCAACTTGCCTTTGAGATGTCACTCTGGCTACTCTGCAGAATATGGAGATGAATAAGATAGGGAGACAGCAGATAGGGAGACCAGTTGGATGGCTTTTCCAGTAATCTAGGTGCTAGAATATCTTGGTAACAGTGGTATTAGGCAGGGAAAATATGAAAATACTTAACAACACTTCTAGCATGAGCACTGACCCATCAGAATAGATACTAGACTCAGCACTGTAGTAGGACTCTATGGTCTTTTCAGGGGCAGGCAGGGTAGAGCAGGAGTATCGCAGAGGTAGAATCAGCAAGGCAGGGGCTTAGCCCCGCAGTCTTTACAACCAATGTGGAAGCATATCATCAATATTTTAGCAACAGGTGAAGCTTTACCTGCCTGGGACTTAGAAATAGTGAGCCAAGGAAGAACTTAGGGGATAAGTAGGAAAGAGAATTTTGGTAATACAAAGGGAGCAAACTAGTATGTATTAGACTCCTATCACATGCCAGGCTCAGCTCCAGGTACTGGATATATCATGATGAATAAAATATGCCTATTGGTTAAAAACACATATAATACCAGCAAAGAGCAATCACTGTCACTCCACTACATTTTGGCAATGCAAAAGGGAACAAAGTGGGAAGACCTAGTAATTAGGTTCTGGTTTCTGCATGTGCAACCAGGTAAATTCATTTATATACTCAATATATTTACTCAGCATTTGTGCCTAAGACACCTGAGAGACTTGAACTGTAAAGTGGCATTTGGTTATAGAGTAAGTAAGTAGGGGAAAGAACTGGGCTGAAGAAATCAGTTTGGGAGTTTCTAGCATAGAGGTGTCATTTTAAACTACAGAACACATGAAGTCCCCTAAGGCGATATGAGGGAGAGAAGCAACAGAAGCCTGGGCAGAACCCTGCCCAAGTCCAATATTTAGTTTATGAAGAGAAGAAGCTTTAATGGCTGAAGATTAGTAGCTACTTCTGCTCAAAGTAAAGCAATCATGTGAAGTTGCAGAAGCCAAGAGTGAGGAGTGTTTCCAGGAGGAGGGAGTGGCTGGCTGTGTCGAAAGATGTGGAGAGATTAAGAAAGAGAGGACTGAAGTCTCTAAGGGATTTAGCAACATGGAGATTGTTGGTGACCTTAATAAGAGCAATTTTAGTAGGTGGTAAAAAAGAGGCTGTTTGGCGAGCATTGAAGGTAAAAGAGAAGTGGGCAAAGAGACATGGTGAGTACAGAGCAACTTTTTGCAGTGATGTGTAAGTGGGGAATCCAATAAGGTATTTGTATAGATTCCAGGTGTCTGCAAACTGGCACACCTGGCCTCTTTTTGCAAATAAAGTTATATTGGGACACAGCCGTTCCTATTCATTTATGAATACAATACAATAGTCCAGGATTGCTTTTGTGCTATGATGGAGTAGTTCAGTAGTGGTGAGACACCTATGACCCTCCCGAAGCAAAACTATTTACAGAAAAAGTTTGCCAGTGCCTGGATCAAGCTAAAAGATTACATGCCCTAACCCATTTTATTAACCCTGGGAAACCGAATAAATATATACATATATAAATGCATAAACCAAACAGGTGCAATCTCTGTCACCATGCAAAAGTGCCATGGAAAGTCTCTTGGGTCAGTTTACTGATATGTCCACAAAAAAGATACCAGTTGTTCTTTGCTGATCCTATATGCCTGGTTTTAACAATACAAATAAGCATATTTTATTCACCCCGACAGAGCCAGTACTTGGAGCTGAGTCTGGCACATTAGAAATGTCTAATACATACTAGTTGAAACGAGGAAGGAAAAGGTGTTGGACTAGGGGGTCACTTGGGGTAAGAGTAGAGGATCTTCGGGAAGGAGAGATCTTTCCTGGTGGGGAAAGAGAGGGCAAATTGTGTTATATATATTTATGAATATGTCACAGTGAACCCCACTATTATAATAAAAACATGTAAAACATAAAACATGATATATGCACTGTGGAATTGTCAGAGTGAAGTCCACTAATTTATACAATATAAGTTAATATTTACAGTAATGTTTACAAGAAAAAAAAAAGGGTGGATAGGGAATCATTTTTAGATTTGAGTAGATAGCAGAGAATTCCCTGTATAAATGAGGTTAAATGCAACCATCCCATTGCAGTTTGTGGAGACTGAACTAAATCCCATTCCTCTAGAATTAATTTGGAAGGGAGGTAGATAGGTTGGGGAGAACAGGCTAAGGCTCATGACAAGGGTATGCTTGATGTGAAAACAAAATCACAAAGAGGCAGTTTGTAGCTTGGCAGCAGGAAAACACACTCCCAACTGCTCTTTATTTGTTGTGATGGAACAGAAAGTAGAGATGAGCTGAATTTATGTATAGCCCAAGCCAACTTATCCCTCACAGGAACAGGAGTTGGTCTGTTAAAAAGTAAGTTAAAGCAACAAATCAAAAAATGGTGTTTTCCACAAACTTAATTAAAAAAATAAGTATATATCATCAGTTAACCAATCTTTTGACAAAAGTGTGAGGCCTTTTCTTTGAACACCAGGCATTGCACTTGAGTAAAATACATTTCTGAGGTTAACTACCATTTAAGGTGGTATGGGTTTTTTAAAGGAGAATGAGAACTTATAGATAAGTGGTGATCTGAACCCCAAATCCTTCTAGATTTTTCCCCAAAATATCTTGTAATCGCATCACTCATACTCTGTGAAGTTTCAACTCACTTTTATAGGAACAACCCTTTTCTTCCATTTCATCTGTTTCTATAATATATCATGAAATCACCTCATTATAATAACAAAATGCAACTCCCATAAGCAGATTTAGGATATAACAATTGCTTTTCAGGGAGCATATCAGGGCATCACCTACTAACTTTGTTCTGTGTGTGGGAACGTTACGATACAAAGGAAATAGAGAGTCTGTGATTCTGGTGAGTTCAGGGAGGGGAGGCAGGTTAAGGGTGTTTTTCATCAAGGGTGGTGCAAGCATCTTACAGGCCCCAGCTGGTGCTCCTTGAGTAACTGACAAGCTGCCAGCATGGCTGGGTCCCCTGAATATTGACTTGGGGCAGCTGTCCCAAGTCATCCTACTCTAGGGACCTTGGAGTATTGTGTGTTGGAAACCACGCATTAAGCACTGGCTTTAGCCTCTTCTGGAATGTAGTTTGTGGAATAATAGATTATTCCTCCTAACAATGCAACTTTCAGAGACTTATAACTATGAGAAACTGGCCTTACATCTCCCATCACCGATTTAGCTTTATAAAGCGTACTTAAAATTCTCAAACTGCTGGATCTAGACAGAGACAGTAAAATCTCAGTAAGCATATTCTGGCAGCGTGTCACCTTGTAACTAACAAAGAATACCCAGAGATCATGGAACATAAAAGTTAGAAATCAAAGCAGTGGTTAATATATTACTGTGAACTGAGACTGGGAAGCCCTTGGTTCTGCAGCAAATGCCTAGTAGGATTTCTAACCTATGTTATGCAAAAATTGGGTCCAGATAAATGATCCTATTCCCTATTATTAATATTTTGGAAAATTATTTACAATAGTTTTGGAAATTAGGGAAATAAGATTGCTGTCTGAGAGTTAACTATCAAATCAAGAATATCATTAATCAAAAACATATATGCAAATTTTAAGAGACAGAATGTTTGCAATATGAAAACCTTTATATAATATTAAGTATTCTACATTGAGACATTATTGGTAGAATTTGAAGAGGCCTGAAAGGCCTAAATACCTTCTTTGACAGATGTAGATATTAAGACTCAGAAAGGCTACATAATTTGTTCAAGGGCCCAAGACCAGTTATGAGCTAATCTAGCCTATAATACAAATCTCTTAGTTTTTCTCATAACACCCTCCCTCTATGTGTAATTTTCTGATAAATTGAGGTCACTCCATCCTCAGTGATCTGGTTACTGTGGCTAAGTTATTATCCCATAACTCAATGATATAACACTCATTATGCTCACTGAGTCTGTGCATCACAGATTCAGAAAGGCGCTTTGGAGATGGGTTCATTCTGGTCTTTGCTCCAAGGCTTACTCACTCACCTGTCTTCTGATTGATTATAGTTATGGCTGGGAGATCAACTGAGGCTGTGGGCCAGAACACCTACTAGCCTCTGCATGTAGCCTGAGCTTCCTCACAACATGGTGACTGGTTTCCAAAGGGTAGCATTACAAGAGACAGACAGACAGAGAGACCATATTACCATTTATGACCCATCTTGGAAGTTATACAACATTAACTTCCACCCTATTCTTTTTTGTTGAAGCAGCCTTAAAAACCCACCCCAGTTCAGGGGAAAGATAGTAGACTTTACCTCTTAATGTGAAGCAGCAAGGTCCTGGAAGATCATATGGGACCAGATTTACTGCTGTGGCCACTTTTAGAAATTACAGTCTGCTAGAATTAGAATTAAAGGCATTCTTTGCAAGAAGAAAACTGGAGGGAGAAAAAAGGCAGCAGAACAACAACTAACAAATCATACCTGAAGGCTGAGTGTGCCTGCTCCCATTCCTTTCCCTCTGGGGAACTTTGCAATCTGTGCTTACTGCAAATTGAACAGGAATAAAGCATTTTAACTCATCGTGATTGAAGCTTTTATTTCATTTAACTGTCTAGTTTGGTGTGTTGGAAAGTATGTTTATAGGATATATCCCTAGCATAAAAGCCTTCACAATGAGGAAAAGGGGAGAAATTATTTTAATTGAAGAAATTTTTAAAAAATAGATCATGTACTAGACTATAAAGAAAACAGCAATAAATCTCTTAAGGCAAAAAGTACACAGACATATTCTCTGGCCACAGAATAATAAAACTACAAATTAGGAACAAACATTTAAACAAAAAATTCCCACCCACTTAGAAATTTAAAAATACTCTTCCACATATCTCTTGGGAATAAAGAGGGAAATATGATTGCAATTATAGAATATATATAAATAAGAATAATGAAAATGTTACAAATCAAAAGACAAGTGACATGCCTAAAGCTATATTTAAGAGGCATATAAATCAATAAGGAATGAGTTGTAACAACAGTACCAGCTGCAATGGCTGACACAAGAAGTGTCAGGCACTGGCCTAGGAGCTTTACATGTATCATTTAATCTTTATAGCAACCTTCAGGTAGATACTATTATATTCTTTCTCACTTAACTGAAGAGGATATTGTGGCATGGAAAGGATGAGTAATTTGAACAAGATCGTGCGACTCGTCCCTATTGTATGCCCAGAGTGTTTCTGGGCTTACTGGGGTTATAGCAGTGACTGAGGCAGGCAGAGTTCGTGCTCTTTCTTGTTACTGCTGGGCAGGAGCAGGAGTTCTGGCTTCCCAGCAGGCCACCACTGATACCATCCAGGCAGGGAGGGGGAGAAGTAGCTCATTACTGCTCCACACATGGCTCTGCTGATAGGGGGTTTGAAGGTGGCCTCATTACTGCTGGGTCATGGTGAAAGCCCTGAAGCTCCACTAGGCCTCAGCTGATGGCACCCCAACAGGAAGAGAAGAGAAGTCTGTTACCACCAGGAGGAGGTGGAAATCCAGGCTCCATACATGGTCTCTGCTGGCACTGGGAGGAGAGATTTGGTCACTCCTGCCTAAACTGAAATTTAGGATGAAAATTCCATCTCCTACTCTGCATTCTCTCACACCACCTTGGCAGCTGTGTTGGAGCATCTCCTGCAGCCAGGGGAGGGCTGAAGTCTAATCTCCCTACCAGGACTTTGCTGGCAGGCAGGGCAGTGGAGGCAACATTTTTTCTGTTGTTTTGCTGGAGCAGAGTAGTTGTTGTCTGAAAGTTTTCCATTTTGCTAGGCCGACCCTTTCCTGTTTTTTGGCTAGACTGAACAGGCTTTTGTTGAGTCCCTTTTGTCTTTGCCTATTGGTTGCTAGCTTGTTCTGCACAACATCTGGGACATGTGAAGCAAATGAATAAAGAGCAAAGGGAACCACCGCAGCTGAATGCCTTCTTCCTTCCCAACTCTCGATTTTCTTAGTGTTTTTTTTTTTTTTTAATATGTAATGTGCAGGAATTCTCATTTCACTTGGCTGGTGGAATAGGAAAAAGAATGTCTACTCCATCTTTCTAGAAATAGAAGTCTCCTGTTTTGTTTTAAGAGGAAATAAATCTGACAGTATTATGCCCATTCTCAGAGCAGAAGGCAAGCAGAATGACAGAGAATCATTTATCGTGATAGGTGGAAGGGGAAAAAGGGATTGGAGTCTATGCACACACAAATACAGTTCATCCCAAGTCACAGAGGGAAAGCTGAGAACAGATTACAAATTCAAGGCATTTCATAGATTTAGTGGTAGATGGATGAGGAAGCTCTCTAGTGTTGGGTTCTATGGTCTCAATGAAATAATTGTCTCAATAAAATAACCTTGAAAGGAGAGGATCAGGGAAGGCTGGGGATTCACAGAGAGAAGGTACGGACTAGTTATTTTGAAGAGTTGTAGAGTGATCTGAGTGGTGAAATACAGTAGGATGGCTAAGCACACTGAAGCTCCATAAATTTAAAAGGAACCAGCCAGTATAGTTGCTGGTTTCCCTCCAGGTTTAGGTACAGAGGGGACAGATAGATTTGGGCTTAATCAGTAATTGTTGTCAGATTACATATAGATGGGCAAAAGGCACAAGAACATGGCAGGTGTACATAAGGAGTGATTATGATGATAAAACACACAAAATCAGACTCGCAACATTGCTCAGTGGCTCAATGCACTATTTGCACTGTGTTTCGGCACACAGTGACCCTACATAGATTATAATCTGGGTAAGGATGAATTCAAGAAGGTGGACAGTAAACATTTGGGGGTGATTGGTTAGGCAGTCTTAATGGAGTGAAGGATTGTTAAAGTGGGAGTGATGAATCAGAGACTCAAAACAGTAGATATTTAAAACTGAAATTTAGGAGGTAAAACAGATATTGAAAATGAAAAGTTCTAGGGTGTGATATGAGAGTGTGTAGCCAAAGTGGGATGGATGGGAGACCACTGGCAAACTTGATACCCTTACTACCCTCCTATTGAAAATAATTTAAAATGATGAATGAAATATATAAATATGATTTTAAATACATCAGTGAATGTTGATGGCATTAAAGTAAGGCCAAAAATGAATTAAAAGCAAGGCCTAGTGATATGACTGAGATACTGATTCTGTCTTTACACTGAAGACTTTGACAGATTTAGGTGACCATGAGTTTCAGTTTTCACAGCCTTGAGACAGAAAACTAATAGTTCACAAAATCCAGGACCAGTCCAAAGAAAGAAGTCTAAAAGATGATGTCCTACATAAAGCTTGAAGAGGGTGCTCCAAAGAAAATTGTCCCAGGGCAGACAACAAGTAAGTCCGCCTATCTTAAAGCTTGGCATTGGGTAAAGGGCAAGAAAAATCTTCTGAAAGTTCCTGAGCACAAGCTGGCCTTTATGTGTGTTTTGCTGCCTGAGTTTCACTACCTGGGTGGTCTGGAAAAACTTCAAGCTGAGAATTTAGCTTAAAGTCGCATTCCCTCAGTAGTACCCGTGGGCATCAGGGAGAAACAAATGCAAATCCTCTTTAAATGAACTCTCTTCAAGAAGGCTTCAAAAAATTCCCATAGAAATATGAATCCACAGTGAAAAAGCAAAAGGACCATGAGTGATACCCAACACAAATAACAAGCTGCTGAATATCATTCACAAAAACATTAGCCAGGTATTGGAAATATCAGACAGTGCAAGATTTATATATAGTACATAAGGATGAGAAAGGTAGAAGCTAGGTAATCATTTAAGGATGATGATGATATGTTTTTCATACAGTACAGGAGAATCTATATGTAAATTAGAATGAAGACTTTTTAACAAAATTGCTATTTTAAAAATATTTTTTATATGTATGGACCTTTATTTTATTTATTTATTTATTTATATGTGGTGCTGAGGATCAAACCCAGTGCCTCACACATGCTAGGCAAGCGCTCAATCACTGAGCTTCAGCCTCAGCCCTAAAATATCAATATTTTAAAAATGCATTTCTATAGTGTACCCCAATAGAAATTGTTAAGAATGTATAATTAAAACCAGACATTACTTCCATATGTAAAATAGCAAATACTGAAGAATTAATTTCACAAACTTGGTAGAAGACTTGTCCACAGAAAATCAGAAAAGTACTGATAAAAATTAAAGGCAGCCTAAATAAGGGAAAAGATACTATGATAGAAGGTTATAGTATGGTCAAGTTTTCACCTTTTTTTCCCTCCAAATTGATGCATAAATTTATTACATTCAAAACTCCCAACATGGTGGTTTGTTTTTTTTTTTTTTTTTTTTTTTTTTTTTTTTTAGAAAGAGGCATGTCATGGGACTTGATAGATTGATTTTGAAGTGTATCAAAGCTATAATTGAAAATCAGCTGGGAAAGTATTGGTTTTAAATAAATGATGCAAATTTTCTTTTTCTTTTTTCTTCTTCCTTTTCCCCTTTTATTAGGGTTTAATTAACAAGTAAAATTACATATGGCATGCATGATATTTTGATATTTATATATATTATGGAATGATTAAATCAAGCTAATTAATGTATCCATCACTTTACACATTTTGTAGGGTTTTTTGTTATTGTTTGTGGTAAGAACATTTAAGGTCTACTTTCCCAACAAATTTCAAGGACAAAATATGTTATTAACTATAATCGACATATAGTACAATAGAGCTCCAGAATACATTTATCCTGAAACTTTCTCTCCTTTGCCCAGTATCTCCCAATTTACCATTCCTTCAGTCCCTAGTAACCACCATTCTACTCTCTTGGAAATGCCCTTTTCAATTAAAGAAAGGGAAGGATTTCTGAAGCTATGCAGAAAAGCACAAACAGTAAAGGAAAACATTATTAAAGTTAACTACATTAAAACTGCAGCTTTCTGGATAAGGATATAGCTCAGTTGGTAGAGTACTTGCCATGCATGCAGAAGGCCCTGGGTTCAATCCCCAGCACCACAAAACAAACAAAGAAACCTACAGCTTTCTATTCATCAAGAGATGCCATGGGGGTGAGAAGAGCCATAAAGTGGCAGAGGGTGTTTGCCTATGTGACAAATAATTCATTTCCAAACTACATAAAAACTGTAAGTTCATTGCAAAAAGACAATCTAATTTACTTTAAATGGGAAAAAGATTTGAATGGGGACTTCACTGGAACACACACACACACACACACACACACACACACACAAATAGCAAATAAATATATGAAAATAAGCTCAATTTTGTAATGAGGGAAATGTAAATTAAAACTATGGTGGCATATTATTTCAATCTTATCAATTTGATAAATATTTCTAAATGTGAAATAAGAATTAGGGTCATCTGCCTACAATCCCAGAGACTCAGAAGGCTGAGGCAGGAGAATCACAAGTTCAAGGCCAGTCTGGGCAATTTAGTGAGATCCTCAGAAATTTAGCAAGACTCTGTCTCAAAAAAATATATATATATATGGGGGTGTAGCTTAGTGGAAAAGTGCCCCTAGGTTCAATCCCCAGTATTGAGGGAAAGGTTGGGGGGGAGCAGGGGAGAAGAAGTAGAAGCAGGGGTAGCGGGGAGGAAAGAGAAGACAAAGGAAGCCACTGAACTCTTATACATTGTTGGTTGGAGTGTAAGTCATTAACCATAATTTGACATTACCCATCAGATTGAAAATATATGTATGTGCCTTTTGACCCAGCAATTCCACTCTTTAGTATTTGGCCTAGAGAGACTCTTTTACAGATGTACTATGAAACAGTTACAAGGATGTTCATAGTACTACTATTTGTAATAGCAAAACTATTTATCAGCAGTAGAATGGACTAAAAATTAATGGCATATGCACATGATTGAATACTATACAACAGTAAAAGTTGATAAATTCTAGTTATTTGTAAGAACATAGATAGATCTCGGGAAGATATTGAGTAGAAAAAACAAGTCACAGAAAGATCTGTACAGGGGCTGAGGATATGGCTCAAGTGGTAGCATGCTCACCTGGCATGCATGAGGCACTGGTCTCGATCCTCAGTACCATATAAAAATAAAATAAAGATATTGTGTCCACCTAAAACTAAAAAATAAATATTAAAAAAAGATCTGTATAAAAATTCCAATTATTTAAAGTTCAAAAACATGCAAAATTACAGAGTATACATTTTTAGGCATCTACGTGCATGTGGCAAAATAGAAACAAAATAAAGGGAACCATAGGGGCTGGAGAGGGACACATAGGGGCTCAAATATTCTGTTTCTCACAGGATAGTGGGTATGTTGTGACCATTATGTTATTATTTATGTGCAAACATTTACTTTATAAATATTCTTTTGTTTGTATTCAATATATTGTTATCATCATCATTAGTGCTGAGCATTGAACCCAGGGCCTCACCTACACTAAGCATATATTCTACCACTAAACTCACCTAAAACTTCTATAATCAGTATTTAATAAAAAATAAAATTTAAAAGCTCTTTGGAGTTGCGGGGGTAAAGTTTATCATAGCATTTTTTTCATGCTAAGAAACAGCAAAGTTTCCATGAGATTTTAATCAAATAAATGAAAGTACTGCTCTCCAACAGAAGAGCACACAGCCATGAAGGATGATGGGTTTCATGTTGACGTACATTTCTCCGATAGTAGGTGAAGAAAGAAATTTACAGAACAATATGGGTCTCATCTGTGTTGGAACATATAGAGATACACATATATAAGAATATAAAAAGTATTTAGTAAGCATAACAAAAAATTAACAGTAGTGGGTTGTTGTTAGTTCATAGGTGTTTTTTTTCTTCTTGATTTCTTCTACATTTTCTACCAGACATGTGTTACTCTTATGTCAGAAAACAGTCAGAAAAAGAATAGCAAAGAATATCTAAGAAAAATCAGAATGAATATAGCTAAAATAGTTGGAAATGGTCTTCACAAAATATGCTTATTATTTGAAGAAAATGATTAGACTCTTTTTTGAGTTAAAAAATAAGACTTGAAGATAAGTGGATTGTATATATGAGGGGGAGAGAATTTAGTAAGTTTCTGGCTAGGAAAAAAAGTAAATGTAATAAAGTTAAATTCTAAATTTTACTTACAGGATTAAAATAATCCCCAAAAAATCCCAATAGAATTTTTTAAATTGATAAAAAGGTTCTCAATTTCATCTGGAAAAATAAATGGGGCTATTGATAGAATTCTGAAAATTAAGAAATTAGAGGTTAAGTTTGTTCTAATAGATATTAAAATGTATGATAAAGTGATAATGATTTACCCCAATCCTGAAAATAGGGAGCTCTTATTAAATACTTAATAGAAAGCACTTAAACTTTTCTTTGTACTTTTAAAAACAGTGTCTGATGAAGTGCTTCTAATAAAGTGATGAATCATTTAATAAATGATTTTGGAGTAATGTCTTAAAAGAGGTAGTTAATTTTTCACCTTAAAATGTATTACAAGATAAATTCCAGATAAAGAAATTTTTAAAAATTATAAATTAGATGAGAACATAGAAAATATGTAATAGATTTAGAATAATATAAATCACAAAGCCTAATGACTTTGCAGGGCCAAAAAATAGTGTACACCATTGGCCCTCTTGTTCTTCCCTTTGCTTCTTTTAGATTTCATAACACATTTCCCTGATTTTTTTTCTAACACTTTGGCCTCTGCTTCTCCAGGGCCTTTGCAGGATTATCCCTCCTCTGGAGGCCATTACATGTTTGAGTTCCTCAGGCCTCATTTCCTCTCTACACTGTCTCCCCAGGCATTCTCATTCATACCCATGGCCCCAATTACCACCTATACTCAGGTGACTCACACTTTTTAACTCTATCCCACCCATTTCTAACTTATTAGAGCTAGTCAGACTCTATGCAGGAAACAGGTGGCCCACTCAAAATGAGTAATTAAGTAGATCTTAGTTAAGAGATCATTTGCAACATGTTTAGGGAAAGCAACAAAAGATTATGGCATAGTAACTCAGGGAAGAAGGAAACAAGGGAACAATTACTGCCTAGGCCTGAAGGAACAAGGAGGTGGAAATGGTGGAGGGGCAGTGCTGGGATGATGGGGAAGTGGAGATTGGAAGAAGAATGGGAGAAGGAGGCAAAGGAGGAAGATTTGAAGGAAGAGGGATCTGGGCTACCTTTACATTCTTTCAGTCCTTCTTATTTCCTATACTTGTTCCCGAGAGGATCTTTATACCTATGATTTCCACTGCCTATAATGTTCTTCCCCAGCTGCATAACTTCTGTTTATCATTCATAGTTTAATCACCACTTTCTCAGGGAAGTTTCCCCTCACTTCCCTATTAAGCTTATCCTATTAAAGTTCTCATATATTATGTACCTTCTTTTTGCACAATCTACCCACTAGCAGTTCATATTCATTTGTGTGGCTTTTTAGCTAGTGTCTGACCTATATTCAGTCCCCTACTAGGACACAAAGTCATGAGGACAGAGACTCTCTTTTTTGGTTCACTTTTGTAGACGTGCTTGGCATCTTGTAGTAGATGTACACATACATACACACACACACACACACACACACATACACACACACACACTCAGGAAAACGTATAATAGTAAAAGCAATGGAATATATCATAAAGAAAAACACTTATAGATTCAATTAGACTAGAATTATTTTCTCTATATTAAGAATAAAGAGCAAATAACAAGGAATAAACTTGAAGACATAATTATAATGTAAAGACAAATATATGCTCAATTGAGTTCTTACCACATCAACAATAAAAATATTGATAATACCCAATAGGAAATGTCAAAAATAAAACAAAAAGTCCCCTACTCCAACTAAAGGAGCTCTGACAACTTTTCATTATGAAAATTGGAACCCGAGATCAAACTGATCTAAACATTAAAGAAAACATTATCTCATGTAACCAGAACCACAGGCTTACCTCTTTCAACATGACAAGTTAACACCCAGCAGCAACTAGGGGCTACAAGCTTTCTTGTTCTCATCCATCAGAAGAGGAGTCTCTTTCCTAACAATGAAACACAAGTACTTCTTCTCAGCCTTAAGGGTTCAACTTAGTACCAACCTGAATCAAATTGCTAGTCAGAGGAATGTCATGTTCGGATTACCAGCTATTCACTAGTAAAAGAGATGGGATTGCCATGCTTGTTTTATTTAATCAGGGCCTATTCCTAGAGCTGAGGTCCATTCCAGAAAGGAGTTGACTACAATGCCCACTTATCATTGACCATGCGCATAAGAGAGAAATGGTCAATGTCAGGAGTGAGGAAGAATCAAGAAAACAAAAAAATCAGTGAGGCATTTTTTGACTCTTATATTTAAAGTTTGCTTTTTGAAAATTATACTACTCACTGAAAATGGGTTGTAAATTGATGTAACTTTTCTGGAGGGCAATTTGGCGATATATTAAAAACCTTTAAAAACATTTGTAATAAATCTTAGAAAATGTGTGTGTGCACAGAAACAAGAAGGATACACAAAGTGTTCGTCTGGTTGTCATTGAATAATACATTTATAAGTGATTTTTATTCTCACTGTTTTTCACATTTTCTTTAACAAGTCTAATTACACTATTTAAAAAGAAAAAAAAACATGAAGTAACCCATTATTTCAGAACATGGACAACTTACAGTTAATAATCTCTTCTAAGAAATGTTAATAGTGGAAAAAGTAGTTTGGGGAATTCCCTTGTGATCTTAAGGTGACAAAAAGAAAATATCTGAGGGCTGGGAATGTGGCTCAAGCAGTAGCGTACTCGCCTGGCATGAGTGCAGCCCAGGTTCGATCCTCAGCACCACATACAAAGATGTCTGTCCGCCGAAAACTAAAAAGTAAATATTAAAAAAAAAAAATTCTCTCTCTCTCTCTCTCTCTTTAAAAAAAAAAGAAAGAAAAGAAAATGTCTGAATCAAAGATTCTAAGTTTTGGAATTCTCTAGCCTGATTGGTCTGGAATTCAGGGGGAAAAGAAAGTATGAAACTCCTCAGAAAGCTATGTAGGTACAACAGGAAATTAGCATTTTATTGCAGGGTGTGTGTGTGTGTGTGTGTGTGTGTGTGTGTATGCATGCGCTCGCAAAACAGACACTACCACTGAACTACATCCCCAGCCTTGTTGTGTGTTCTTCTAATTCAACCTCTAATTCACCTCAATAGGCTCTTCCTTGCCTGCCAGTTCTAGAGCTATGAAGTTGAGGCCACATGACCAGACTTATCTTGGTTTAATGTCTCATTCATGGAGAAAACTGGGTTGAGCATTTTTTAAAAACATGAGCATAGGAAAATATCTGAACTCATCCTTAAGACTAGTCTGAACACCTAGGATAAAGGAACATGAGTTGCTGAACTGGAATTTCTGATAGACACTGAACCCAAAGTGATTCACTGATGAGGTTATTTCTTCAGTTTTAATTTCATAATTTCTCCCACCGATTCTCAGATCACTCCCACAGTTCTTTCTGTCTTAACCATAGACTCTCTTGGTAACCTTGCATCAGTCACTTAACCTCCACCGTGTCCTTTCTGAAAACATTTGTCTGTGTGGATTTTCTTTTGCCTAAATCTCTATTGTTTTGTTGAAATGAAAGATCTGTAAAAGTGTCTGTGGCTCTATGAATTTAGGATAGCACTTCAACCACGGAAGCACTGTGTTTTCTGTCTTCATTTAAAGGCTTAGAAACAGAACTTTAACCTGTATGAGATGGGAGGTATATATGCCAGCAGCAGATTCCACTTATCAGTCTTCCAGCAGTTACAGTAAGCCAGCGGCTCAGCCTGTGCCTAAATTGGCCCTGAATATACAAGTGAGGACAGCAGACAGGCAGGAAGTGGGCTTTGGTTGATTTCCATCTATTAGCAGCAGCTTAACGTGCTTGCAGCTCCCTTTTCCATTGGCCACAGCTGCTGAGAGCAGCAGGTCGAGGGTTGACCTATATCTGTTCAGTGTAGGTCAAATTCTGAATTTGTTTACAGCAAATTTCAGTCTTCCAGAACGCCAAGTTTAACTTACTACTCATCACAAACAATATTTTATTGTTTGGGGAATTCCCTTGTGATCTTAAGGTGACAAAAAGAAAATATCTGAATCAAAGATTCTAAGTTATGGACTTCTTTTATCAGGAACTGATTCTCCTCCTGTAAGGAGCTTACATCTGTGGGTTTCCCCACTCTAGATTCTTTTGCTTTCTTGCTGCCTCAACCTCCTCTTACCTTCTTACTATTTTTGTTCCCTATTTCTGCGTCATCCTGTGGCTCAGAGGGGTTCTGATGGTCACATCTGTGCTCCTTCTAGCAATCACAGTAATACTAGCCCTTCTCTGCCTACCCCAGTTTCACCAAGCGGTGCCCATTTCTTTCCATTGTAGTTGTCATCCCAGATTGGCACAACCTTGTGCCTACATGTGCCCTTCTGGGCCACCATGAGTTTCAGAATGTGTCAGTTGCTAATCACAACTGCAGCTGTGGGCAGAATTATAATTAAATACATTCAACATGTGATCCTAAAGTTAATACACAGTAATATTTTCTTGACAGTTTCTAAAGGGCAAAAAATTTAATAGATTATTAAGACGTTGATTTTTCTAGGTTAGAGAACTGCTTAGACTTTACTTATGCAGCACCATTCAAAGGTGGCAGAACTCCATTGTGTTTGTCTTAGATCTCAATCAAAAAATGTTTGTTGTTTTGGGTCTCAATCTGTGTATTTTTTTACACAGACATCACACTGGGCAATGTAGCCTAGTTGGTGCTGCTTTCACACTAAACATTAGTACACTATAGGCTTCTATTTACAGTGCAGACTCTGCTTTCCATTACCTATTCTCATTTCTTCACCAAGTTCTTATTGTAACAGTAAAGAGGCCCAAATGATGGAAAAATTATTCTAGAAACTCAGGTCCCCATGCACACAAGCTACATCACAGTCATTCAAGATGGAAAGGACCTATTTAAGTCATCCTACTGATTCTCTGAGGGCATGTGGTGGTTTTTTCCTCTCCAATATACCGATCTACTTTTTAGTCCCTTTCCAATTGTAAATGGCACAAGCAAAGGAGCTTCCACCTCTCCCAGGGGGATAGCACTGCACAGTCTATAATAGATCTCTCCATTAGGGCATGTGACCCGCTCAGCCGCCTAAATCATCTTTGTTTTGACTTTCATTTCCATCACTCCTCCTGCTGTCCCTTTGGACCACACTAAATAATTTCTCTCAGTCCCTGCTATTTACACCCTTCAAGTACTTGTGGCCGATGAGCCAGTCCCTGTTAGTTAGAGCCCGGTGGTCATGCTGGGAGACTTGTCTCTTTCATCTTCCCTCTGAAGGCAGTCCCTTCAGACTTATAAATCATATTTGTTGCTCTTCAACGAATGCCCATCCGTTTCTCGATAATTTGCCTCATTTCTTTGTCACTCACTGTGCTCAGGAAAATCCCCTTTGTTTGTCTCTGTTGCTGCAAAATAAGAAGATGGTGGTAGCAGAATGTCTGCTTATAGAAAGCAGAGCAGAGCTCTTCAGCTACCAGGCATCTTCCTACCCAGGACAATGTCATCATCTAGTCAGTTATCTTTGACTCTTACTCGGTGTGGATTGCTATGTTAACAGCAGTTAAGAGTGCATATGGGGACAGGAGTGGTCGATCTGTATTTCATCTGGCCAGCCTTTGTTGTGGCATATTTTGTTAACTACCAGTGGTTGTTTAAATCACATTTCTCTGCCCATCTAAATTCCCAGATGGAAAAGCTTCCTTGAATTCCCTTGAGGGAATGCAAACCTCCTACTTTCCACTAACATTCCCTTGTTTATTGGTGCCAAACTGGAAGACATCAGCAACCACAAACACCTTTGCTGGAGGGGAAGTTCTCTTCTGCAAGGGAGAATGTTTCCTTTACCTTGCATAAGCTGAAAAGGTACTGTAAATCAGGAGACTTGGCCGGTGTTTTGTAATGCAATCTTCAACAGTGTTCAGCCTGTTCCCTCATGAGGTACCCCTCTCCAATTAATGGCTACCCTCTTGCTAAGGCACCTTCTAAAGCACTGGATTTAACAAGGTCTGGTCTAATGTGTACAATGTTCATATTTATGCAACAATAATAATACCAACACAAGCATTATACAAGACATTACAAACTGTGTTCATCTAGGTATATCACCCCATTTAATACTTACAACCACCCTGCAAGGAGGGAATTTCCTTTACTTATCAGGGAGGTTTAGAGAGGCTTTATTATCCAATTTCACAAATACCAAAAAAATTCTCAAAAGAGTCCCTCTTGTTCTCCCTCTGAAATCACTGGGGAAAAAAGTCTTTCTGAGTAATATGTAAAAAGGTAGTAACTGCATGCAGGTTCCTAATGTCACTGAAATGCTGGCCAGGGCATTGCTTTCTGAGTTCTTGGTTGGCAAAAATAGAGTAACTAGACATCATCCACAGTTTGATATGGGCCCTAATGCTTATCAATAGGATAATTTAGTTGTTATTCGATGACAGAAAGGGTATATTAAAATTTAAAAGATACAGCTTGCTATCTCTTTCTAAACAATAATGCAATATTATTAGACATGGGCTAAAAGTGAGCTTATCTCTTCAAATACTAGTTCAGTCCCTGAGGGTATCTGTTTTCCCTGCAAAGCTGATGAGGTTATATATACCCAAGATAAAAAAGGAAAGAGATTTATTTCAATAAATGTTAATAACTCGATTTGATGAAACAAAGAGCAGAATATTTTTGACTTTTATGTATGAATAATATAAAAAGCAGAAGTACAATTTTGTACTCAATATGTGTCAAGGGAGGCACTGTATCCTTAAACTGTGCTAACAGCTAAGCAAAAAAGAGGAGATTTTATTTACCTTATCACTTATTTTCACAAAGAGCTTACTGGTAGTTTTAATTTGGCACAAATATGGTTACAGAATGAGAAAGGCCTGAATTAAAGGGGGTTTATGCTTTAAGGGATTGAAGTAACATCCAAATAAAAGACTCTTCAGCTCCAGCATTTTGAACAAAA